TCTGGACTTTAGCTATACACAACACACTATATGGAATGTGAATGTCCTCCAAACTGATAAGAATTGCAGTAATACATTTTATTTCCAAAAAACGTAATCTAACCATTGATTGTTGACTTGAAGACTTTCTACTTCTAAACCCAAAATCTCCTTTACATGACTTGCAAATCTTATACATTCAGTCATATGCCTACACAAATGTATGTATACACAAAAAAATTCAACAGTGCCATACCCCTCCCCAACAAAACAATTTTCCCTGCCATTGTTAATGCTGACCTGAAAAATACAGCAAAATTTATTCTATGCTTTGTCTTGATTTCTCCAGAGAAATCCAAAGCATTGCTATATAAAGCATCACTATATAAGAAAGAATTTAGAATCTGAAAGTTATGAAAGTTAGAATCTGAAAGATATGAAATGTTCATATTTTATAGTATTGCAGAAAAGGACCAGTTCTGGAGAAAATACATATGTTATTTTAAAAGAAAAGCAAATCTCCCAGCTATATATGTGATAGTTTCTGTGTGAAACCCATGCTGATGTTCTGAAGCATACATTGGGTGTACTCTGGGTAACCATCAATCCAAAATATTATTCTGGGCATATGTACACACATGTGTGTGTTTGTGTGTGCGCGCACACGCGTGTGTGTGCAAATATATTCTACTTTCAGTCATTTATTTCTCTGTTTCTTTCCTTTCCTTTTGGATAATTGACATTTCTTAGAACATAATCCATATGAATGTCATTGCCCATCTCCTAAAATGTCTAGAAAATCACTAACCCAACAATGAGTAAAACCATTTTTCATCATAACTGGTTAGAAAAGTTTGCTTTTGGGCAACCTGTCTTGGCTCAAAACATAATTGAGCTAAGTACTGAGCTGCAATCTGATTGGCATAATTCAAACAAAATGTCCATTCCATCACCTTGCATCTATCCTTGAGCCCAGCTGCTTGACTTCATTTTTTTCCTCTATTTCAGAAATATAAGGACACATACACACACACACAATTCTCAACCCCTACTGGTGCATGCTGTGGTCCTTGTACATTGTCCCTTGGCAAATTGTTGTTTTCAAAAGCAGAGGGGGATCAATATATAAGAAACAAAGAAATGTGTATCTTTGCAATGAAAATATTGGAACTAGGCCAATTTATACAAATGTTCACTCCAGAATAGAATTAGTGAACTAGATAGAGCAAGATATAGAAATGGAAGTTCTACCATCTTCCTACCTGACATTAACTAGATACAAAAGTACAAGTGGGCTTAAAATACTCTTCACTTTGAGTGAACAAGAGATGCATGGTGGGCATAAGTGAGTACATGGTATTGTGAGAATATGGTGATACTGCTAGATCAGTGGTTCTCAACCTGTGGGTCGGGACCCCATTTGGGGTCGAATGACCATTTCACAGGGGTCGCCAAACAACGCAGTCCACCATTTTTTCCCCCTTTTCCTTAGCTGTGCTACTCCCTTTTATTCTATTGGCTTTTGAAAGCCAATAGAATAGACTCTCTTGAATAGAGTCTAATTTTATTGGCTTTCAAAAGCCAATAGGAATTGTACAGGCTGTCTCTGCCCTGCTGAGCCCGCCAAAAGTCCCATTCTGCAAACGGGTCATAAGTTGAGTAGTCCTCGACTTATGACCGGTTGAGTAGTCCTCGACTTACGACCAGTTGGGGGTTGCGGCATTAAAAAGGTTGAGAACCACTGTCCTAGTGTGAAGGTCAGTTTGGCTTATTTGTTTGCTTATGGTCCAAAACCAACCATAAAAATATATACAGAGTTGTTTGCTGAGATGGGAGGCTATAGAAATCAATAAATCAATGAATCAAAGAATTTGAATGAATGAATGAATGAATGAATGAATGAAGGGTGGGTGGGTGGGTGGATGGATGCAAAGGTAGATGATAGATCGAAGGAGGGGAGGAGGAGAAGAGAACTGAAACAGTTTGTGGTGCAAATAAAAGCACCAAACGCCTTCTATAAGCCATAGCTATTAATAGAAAATTTGCAGCGTTTTGGGGGGATATCTAGGAACAGATCACATCCAAGCAGAACTATATCTTCAGGTGCATAAGAACAATTACATTTTCCAACAACTGCTAATAACAGATCTGTTCACCATTGGGTGTACAATGGGCCCTTCAGCTGCACACGTGACACATCTTTCATCTCCATTTCACAACATACCCATTTTTGTTAAAAGGAGGCCAGCGTGTTTGCCTATTGTCACTTTAATGGGTAGTGCAGCATCTCTGAGCCAGAGAGAAAAGTCTCCTGTGTGGAACATGTAAAATGTTTTTAAAAATTATCTAGGAATACTGCTGGAGGAGAAAGCATTTGCACTATAATGAAGATGTAAGCTCTAAACTGATCTTGCCCTAGATTCTTAAATATTGCTAAAGAACACTAGCCCACCAAATACTCAAACATACATCCAGTACCCAAAGAGATAAAAATTTAAAATTTGAAATATTTTTATAGACAGTATACTTCAAATATGGATTAGCATCACAAATAAATTCTTGTATGTTCCCTGATCTAACCTTGAGACACGGGCATCTCTCCATGTGCAGGCATCTTTCTGCCGAAGAGTTTGAGAAAAAGAAGAGCTATAATTCTAGTTATCATTTCCAAGAAATGCTACAGTAGCATTCCTTGAAGTTGTTAATTAAAAGAAAAAACCTTTGCAGCATTCCCATTGTTAAGTCTGCATTACAAGCAGTTAAAAAAAACCCAACCTGTGCCTTCTCTGCAGTGCAGAATTTATGAAAGAATTTCAGAGAATATCCTTTAAGTCTTTGCTGGGCGTTATTTTTAAAAGGAAGGCTATCCTAATTTTTTTTCCCCCTGCATATATAGTTCAATTGGTTGATTGAGCTTTCTAATCAGTAAGAGCTGGAGAAGAGATGGTGGATGAAAAGGTCAACAAATCCGATTCTCTGTCTTTTCAAGAAGCCTTGGGACAAACTACACACTTTAGGACCTTAGCTGTGTCAGAGAATTGGGAAGTAGGAAACAGTCTGAATGCTTGCTTTCTTTCAGCTTATCCAGACCTTCCTTGTGTTTCACAAAAATCTATTAACTAGTGAATAAACACTGAGGAACACACACATATGCCTTGAAACAAAAGAGGAAAATGTATTGGGGGGGGGGGGAAAGGTGGAGATTCTGGGTCAATCTGAGCCTGATCTTTTTAAAGTAACTAGCAATTCCATCACACTCCCTCCCTCCCTCCCAACAAGTTCCCAGCTGTTGTTTTTTTTCTCCTCCCCCCTTAATATTTGTATGTACTTGAAAGGTTTGTTTGTGGCAAAAAGAAGAAAGAGGATCTGGGTTAGTTTTCCATGCAAACATCCTTATAGGGTCTGTTTAAGCCCTCGTCAGTTTCTCAATCTTAACATTTTTATTCTTTAAATTCAGAATATCGTGATGAGTAATCGTATAAGAAGTCTTTAACTTTGCTTCCTGAAAAGAAAAACCTTTGAAAGAATGCTATACAGTACCTACTCAAGTAAACTGCATCTTTTAACACCTTCTAAAGTAAATTTACCTACACTTATCTATTTTTCTACAAAAATATGCCGGCCAACTGTGTTAAGAAGACAATTGTGTATTCTGTGGGCAAAATTAATTAATATGCAATTAAATTAACAGCAATACAACTCCAGTTGCTTTTTTTTAAAAAAAAATAATGTATTCTCCTATAATGTGTTCAGACAGAAGCTGGAAAGCCATCTGTTTGGGATTATTAATTTGGATTTCAACATTGAGAAGGGGATTGGGCTAGACGGCCCTCTTCCAACTTTACAAATCTACAAGTCTTTATATATATATATATATATATATATATATATATATATACACATACATACATACATACATACATAAAAAGATCATCAGGACAAGTCAATGTTTTCCCACCAACACAATATTTCTGTACAGGAAATTGAATAAGCAGCACAGAAACAAAGTCACTTTATAGTCAGGGTTTTCAAATACTCTTCCCAAATAAGGGAATATGACACCTTATCACAGGACTGGAAATTACTTATCCGGATGTGTAGTTCACATTTTTCCCAGTAAGTCTTCTCCTGTTCTGTAAAGTCTCTTCTTACTGCAGAAAATCAGGTACTACCTTGCTAATCTCTTGAATTCCACCTGCAGTATCCCTAATATTGATGGCACTATCAGTCACAAGGACACCGTTTATCTTCATATGCACTCCCACAATGTACACATTGATTCAGATTGTTCCTGATCACCACAGAATAGCATCAATTTGTGGCTTAGGACCACCTTTTAAACAGACTATGCAAATCTGAGTTTAGATACATGATCCCACACAGCAATTAACAACACATTTGAGACTTAAGCAGGGGCACAAATTCATATGGAACAAGAAATGCAATGAATTCCCAGCCTCCAGAACAGCATCTGGATATGATGCAGATTAACAAGACAGATGAAGAACATAGAAAAACAAAACAAAACCGCGACCAATATTTTCTTGGTCCTGACTAACTCGAGCAACCCTCAGTAGGAAAAGCCAGATTGGTTCTACCATTATGCAGAGCAAAGGGGCAAATGAAGTGGCACAACTCTGGACTGTACCACTTCATACTAAAGGTTGGGATTCTGTCTTTTAAAATGTTCCTTCCCATAAAAAGCTGCCGGCACGTAAGAAGCAACAACACATGCCAATTTCTTGCTAATGTGTTAGCATTCTCTATGAATGACTCTCTTTCTCTTGCACTCATGTGGCAGAGCATTCAAAGACATGAGACCCACCCCCACAGCCTCAAATGGTGTCATCCAAAATTGTGTCACTTCAGTCTACAACTTCAGCATGTGTGATGTATAATGCCTACAACCAGCTCTCATTTTCCCCATTACTTGCTGCCCAAAAGTTTGGGAGGAAAACTATCCCCAGACTAGTTGAGACACCCCAGGGGCTAAATAAACCCATGCAGAGGTACATACTCACCCAGAAGAGCAAGTTGAAGACAAACATGAGGTACTTAATGCACTGTAGGCAGTTGTGAGCCATGCTGCACCTCTTCAGTTCTAGAAGAAAAATAAAGGAGAGATCCAAGTAAAAGACCACATACTTGTTCCCCTTGGGGGAGGTGTACTTAGCCTTGGTGGCCTTAGGACCTGGGTTGGTATGGAATCCAAAAAAAGAGTTACTTGCGGCTCCAAATTGGCCGCCGTACATGCTGCTGTAGCGACGGAAGGCGCCATTGGGAAAACTGTAATCCTTGCTGTCCACAGAAGGGCTCCTATGGTAAGTTGATTCATCAGTGCTAGATCTGCGCATGGTGACGTCAAAAGTGTTCCAGAGATAGTATTGACAAGAATCTTTGCAGTTTTATTTTGTTGGGAAGGACAGGCTTTCAGCAACTTCCTTATTTGCCTCCTCCCCCCTCCCCTAATGTTTTCTGCCAGCTGTTCTTTTGCCTGCCATGGTTCTGTCAAGGAGTGAAGTGAGTTGCAAAAGCTGCCCGTTGGCGAACCGAAGCCTGCTCAGCCAGGAGTTAGGAAACCCCTGGGCTTACTTGTGGAGAAGTCTTTCCTGCACAGAAAACATCATCTTTGGTGCCACAGTCAAAAGGGTGGGGGGGGGGGAGAAGAGAGAGACACCCAGGGAGAGAAATAGTCTAGTTTGGTTTTGCAAAAGAGAGCGACAGTCTTGCTGATTATCCTAAGTGCCATATAAAACCTTCAATCCACATTGCTATTAAAAAGGACACCAAAACAGTGAAACCAGGGATGTTGCACAGAAAAGAGGCTAAGATCAGAGATTATCCCAACAGCAAGCAGCTCTCCTGCCCTGCTCCGCTCGGTCCCATCGCTCTCTGCCTGGAGATGGTTCAGCTCACTTTAAACGATTCCCTGTCTCCCCTCGGACAGAGGAAAGAAGTGGATGGTGTTTCATTCGCAGCGCTGTCACTCTTGAGATTCCAATCCAGTCCTGCTCCCTCTCTGTGCTGTTAACCCAGCCACAGCGCTCCAGCCTGTCCTTGCATCTGAAGTGGGAGGCAGGGGGAAAGACGCTCGCCTCACCGTATCTCATGAATGCCTGCTCAGCACTCTCTCTAGCTCAAGCCCCCTCCCCCAGCCAATCAAATGTACTCTCAGGCTCCCCTATTCCCCCCTCCACATCGCCACCTTCTTTACAATAAAACCCTCCCCTTAGCCTCTTCACAGCAAATCCAACATGAGCTGCTTTTAACCAATCAGGCTACAGGTGGGGAAGCTACCGTTCTGTGCCTAAGCATAAACCCAGAGTCCTGCCTCCTAGGTAGCTGCATTCTCCATTCATCCTGGGCAGAGCAGTACAGGAGATGCAGGGTTTCTTCTTCTTCTTTTTTAAATCATCCCAGCTGACAGTGGCTGCTTGGATTTATAGCCCCTTCAGAAGAGGCTACAGAATTAATGGCTGCTCTAAGGGTAATTGCTCCTAAAAGCAGGGAGACAATGAATTTCCTGCAAGATATTGGTTTGGGGATGAGAAATTCCTAAGTTTTCTTGGAGGTTTTTTTTTTTTTTGCACTGTTATCTGGGATGCCTGCACTGACAGGGTGGACAGTTTCCTCTTTTCACTTTTGCATATGTCTCATCTGACACAACATTCACTTGCTTGTGTTGAAATTTGGATTTCCTCCCTGCCCATAGCAGATTCCAAGTAGTTCCCATTCACAGTGCTACTGCACCCTAGAAATTTGAGCCCTAGCGATTGTTTTTGGAAAGGGTCGTTATCTTCTTCTTTGTATCTGGGGCATTCCATCTTGATATATGGGCTATGATGATTAAAGCATAGGGAGGCCCACTTTCCCATCTCCATTCTGCAATGAAGTCACAAGGAAACCTATGTCAGTTATTCTTTCTCAAGTTAGCATACTTTGGGAGGGGGAGAGTGGAGGAAAGAAGGGGCAATACCTGGAGAAAGGTCAAATTGTCAGTGTGTCGAATCAATAAAATGACAACTGGAATTTTAAGGTTAATTCAACCAGCAAGTTGATCCAACCTCAGCTCCCACTGACCAGCAATAAGATCAATGGCCAGCGGACTGAGAAGTTCTAATAAAACAAATCAGTGGTTTTGTCCTTCATTTCTGCATGGAATAAATATTTCTGCCACTTCTGTCTTGGGTAGCCTCTGCATAAGATCACAGAGCCCTTCATTCACACTATTATGAGAATCTACTTTACCTACTGCTTCACATAACAAGTCATAGTGATTGTTCTCATGATTTTTGGGAAAAAAAATCACAGCAATGCTGACAATCTCTGGAGCTGGAAAATCAGACAACAATCTGCTGCCTGCCACAACAGTATGTGTTGTTCGGTCTTCTCATTTCATAACAAGTACCGCTACTCCTGGGGCTCTGATGAGCTCTGATATTCACATGCAGCTTTCCTTGTTAGTTCCCAAACTGCATTGAATTACTCCCATCATCCCCAGCCAGCCAATATGCTAGTTGTAATCCAAGCCTCATAGTAGAGAATGCTATGTTGGGAAATTTGAAATGAAATTCTCCATTCAGAAATCGAAGAACATAAGAATATTTGAGAGTTGAAACAGAATAGAGCATGAGAAAGCAGTGCAATTCAAGCAAGCTATAGGATATTAAAAATAGTGACACTGTTTATATATTAGGAAACACGGATGTAATTGCAAAGCACTAAATGGACTCCTCTTTTCCTGTACCCCTCTACCACACACCTTTTTAGATTTGTTGTGAAGGTCTGAGGAAAAGCCATGGCTGAAGACTTGCAAGGTGCATAGAACAGATAATTATTCAGAAGCTTCGTTTTGTGAGCAGAAGTAAATGTGCATAACCTGGGGGAACCACAATTTTCTTTGTCTGTGAACCTCTGGAATTGGCAGCAGCACAAATCGTGTTTTGCACCCACTTCACTGCCCGTGACATTGTCGGCTCAAGATTTCCCCTCTGTTTTGCTTACTTTAGTGCGCAATGTGACTGCACACACATCACAAGTATGTTTTTCATCTGACTGTGGCCCACTGTTTTCAGGCAGAAAACAGTGATTCCAGAACCTCAATCTACAAAGACTTTCTTTCTTTCTTTCTTTCTTTCTTTCTTTCTTTCTTTCTTTCTTTCTTTCTTTCTTTCTTTCTTTCTTTCTCTCTCTCTCTCTCTCTCTCTCTCTCTCTCTCTCTCTCTCTCTCTTTCTTTCTTTCTTTCTGATGGGGAGGATTCAAATAAGGTTCCAAAGATATCAGCCTGATAGAGAGCAGCACTGGGTTTATACAACTCAAAGTCCTAATGGATGCTGCCAGCCCCTCAGGATCAAGAATCACTTATTTAACACACACAGCTTATGAAATGTATCATCATCAGAAGGAAGAGGTGACTGGTTAGCAATTTAAACACTTTGCTGGAGAAAGATAATACCAAATACAAAAGGTGTTTTCCTGCCAAAACCATCTTTCTTGGGGAAACATCAGGAACACACTATTCAATTAAACAGGAAAGAGAAAAACTCGAATGGCTGATACTGCAAGCCTCTCTGCAAGGTCACCTCTGCAAGCTATCCACTTACTTGAACTACACAAAATGTATAAACATGACAGGCTATAATCTCTTTTCTCTTTCAGTATGCCATATGGGCTTAGCAAACACAAGCATCCACAGTGATTCTAATTCTAATGCCATTCGTAATTGTATATGCAGAATAACGAGTATTGAAAAAGTTCCTTTTGAAATCTTTCCCTTGTAGCACTTGTTCAGCCAAATAATGCCAGTGAAAAGTTCCTTGCTGGCCTCTAGCTGAATTTGAATAGAAAATGCAAGTTTATATATGGGTGCCTTTTTATGGGTATCTTGCTCTCTGTGCATGACAGAATGTTAGCCTGTAATACATGGGTATATGCTGTGCCATAAACCTCATAGCCCTCACCATTCTCGGTCTAATCTGCCCAGAGGGGTTGTTGCAAACTGTATCCTCTGAGCATGTTACAAGAAAGAATGGATAAAAACAAATTTCCCACATTTTGGGAGGTTAACTTTTTTGCTTATGGAGAATTGTTCCCTATATTATTTAGCAATCCGTTGATTCTGGGACTGCATCTTTAAAAAAGGGAAATGCCGACAGTTACCTTTAGAAACATTGTTTAAGTCAGATATAAAGAAGGTTATTACATCTAATGAGGAAGAAAAGCCTTTGTCAATTCTATATTAAAGAATCCAGCATCACTCCCTCATGCAAACCACAATAATAAAGAGAACAAAGGATCAGAAAAGCAGGTCATATTTGAAATATAACAGATTTAAATTAATTAATTAAAATTTAAAAATATGATGAAAGTCTTTTTTTTTTTTGCTCAAAAGAATCTCTTTGTCAAACATTTCCATATTTTGGTTTCTAGTTACAATGTTGATATCATTTATATGCTGGCTAACAATACACACCGATGCATTCTCTGATCTGGAAGACTCTGTTGAAGTTCAAAGCATCAGCAATTCAAACATATACAGGCAGTACAAGCACTAACACCGCCTAGGACAAAGCACTCAATCAGGCACAAAAATCAGTGTTAGCTTCCCAAAGGTGGGGTACATTGAGATGGCAGCCAATTTCAAAGAATCTTAAAAACAGAGGTTTTAAGGGGAGGGAGCTGAAGGAATGGATTTCAAACAAGTAGCTTATAGAGGAAATAACATGCTACAGTAGTGCACAATTTTTATTGTCCATCCCATACTGCCTTTAAAACAGTCCGATTCAAAATGAACTATGCTATTTCTAAACTGAGGTTGGGAGTTGAGGGGGGAGGGGGAGAACAGAAAAGAGAGTAAAGAAAGTTCCTATATAGATTTCAAGTATGATGCATGGAAAAAGTAGATAAATTGCTAACTTAAGCCAAGTCAGGATATTTGCATATAAGTGCAAAGTACTCTTTTCTCTACTTGCTGACTTACTCACTTACTCCTTCTCTCTGAAAAACTGACAAACTGCTGACATAAAATATGTTTAATGAATCCACAAACCCTGCTACAAAATGAAAAAAAACAACACTTGTCTTCCTGTATGTGAAGAAGGCTCTACATCAGGGGTGTCAAACTCAATTTCATTGAGGGCTGCATCAGCATTGTGGTTGCCCTCAGGGGGCCAGGGTGGGTGTGGCCTACTGGGTGGGTGTGGATGGAGTGGGTGTGACCTACTGGGTGGGTGTGGCCAGCTCTACATCGTTTGCATCAAGGGTGCCTGTGGGGGCCTAGGCAGGAGTGGGACAGATCTGAGGGTCTCTGGCAGAAGGGGGTGGGACCAGAGCAAGTGCCAAGGCATGGTCTACCAGAAGAGCCTCACTGTTCCTCTCAGGCCATGCCGGGGGGGGGGGCTTTTGGAGCTAAGACTGAATGCGTTTCAGCATAGATGGCCACCACAAAATTGTACATGGCCCAAGGGCCGTTCCCTCACTGTTTCCAGGATGGCTTTGTGGGCCTCATGAAACCACTTTGCAGGCCGCATCCGGCCCCCGGGCCTTGTGTTTGACATGTCTGCTCTACATTGTGAAATAAATAGCCAAGGACTGAGTTCACAAATGCTCAGTGTATGCTTCAACCACGGGTAACCAAATAACCGTATGGTCAGATTCAAACATAACAGTAAACCATCAGTTATAACTTAAAAACTATAATGACCAGGTTATTCCAACTTAGTAAGCCAAAGTCTACAAAACTGCATTATGTTTTAATACTTTGTTTGAAGATACCCGTAACACTCCTAAGAAAATGTACTTAATAGCCCCGCTGTTTACTCACATATAAACTCTACATAGGTTACAGCCTCATAGTCTTGATTTACATACAAAATACCTATAACAAATATAGAACAAGATTTTAAAAAGT